AGTACGTCAGAAGTGCTTCCTTGTGTTATGACGGCATCACTTAATTGTATTAATCTGTTACCTTTGACATCACATAATCTGATCAGATGGCCAAACTAACTTCACTCCCAAATCATAATGCTTTAGTCCCTATATATATATATATATAAATATATATATATATTTATATATATATATATATATATATATATATATATGTGTGTGTGTGTGTGTGTGTGTGTGTGTGTTTTGGCTCTGTGAGATGCAAATTGAATCAGATATAAAAATCAATACACGTAATCAAGGAAACAGACGTAGATCGAATATATCAATTGATTAACATAAGGCTACAAATCAATATAGCCAGTCTGAAATTGAGACAGACACAAGGGAAGAAAACAAATTGACATATCACGTACACATAGATTGATATAAAGTGATCTTAAAAGACAAAGAAGCATACTTGAACGTTTTTACACACACACACACACACACACACACAAAAATATATATATATATATATATATATATATATATATATATATATATATATATATATATATATATAGTGTATGTATAACGATATGTAATTTTGTATAATATGTATATATATATATAAAATTTATTATATATATATATATATATATATATATATATATGTGTGTGTGTGTGTGTGTTATAAATTGGAGTATATAATCCTGACAGTGTTATAAATTATTGACAGTTGAAAAACTGTTGAAACTTGACTAATGCATGGAATAATAATGCAACACAAAATGTACTTAGAACAAAATGTATTGAAACAAAAAAGTGTACACAATATTTACATATAGTCTTTTGTATATTCCTGGTAAGACCGTTCCTGGAGAATGTGTTGACTGAGGCGCAGTCGGGCAGAGTCTCTGGTTGAATCTCTTGATTCCTCCGTCTCTTCCCGGTACCAACCATATTTATATGGTCGGTACTCCATTATGCAAATTAGGCGGATCCTGCCACAACAAAAACGTTCATGTTTCGAAAAATCATCTGACAATGCCTCTCGTCTGTTTTAGCTTCATTCCATCGAAGACGAAAAATGTATTGCGTGTGTATCCTTTTGTGTGTGTTTAAAATAATGAAACCTTATATTTTTCCCAAACTGGTGTTGCTCATGACTAAAATAATAGGGTAGGAAAATGAGTGACTTTTAAAAAAAAAAATATTTGACATTTAATATTTACCGGCTATAAAAGTCACTCATTTTCTTTCTCTTTTTAGTCACGAGCAATGCCAGCTATTAAAAAAAAAAAAAAAAGATTTATTTGTTTTAAACTCACACAAATGCATACACACGCAACATATTTTTTCGTCTATCTGATGAAGCGACATGCATAGTCGGATGTTTTTTCGAAACATACTTTCATGAACGTTTTACCAAATGTCAATAATTTATAACTCTGTCGGAATTATATACTCAGATTTATAACATATATATATATATATATATATATATATATATGTGTGTGTGTGTGTGTGTGTGTGTGTGCTCGCACATGCGTGCGTGAGCGTGTGTGTCTGTTTGTGTTTGAATGTATATATATGCATAATAAACACAAAAGAAAGACTTATCTTAGCCGAGGCGTTTCGTTCTCTTTATTAAACCAAATAAAAGGCTTTTATTTTGCGACAAGTATTTATAAACAAAATAAAGCACTCATTAGTTTTATTAAATTTCTAAATTCAACAACGCTCATAAATATTCATCAAGCGAACTGAAATGTCAAGGCAAATTATGGAGGATGCTAAGTGATGTAATTTAATGTCTAACTAATACAAATATTTTCTTTTTATTTAAATAATGTAATTAATATTATATTAGTTTACTTTGAGGCTAATTTGTTAGCCTAAAGATCTCGAGAAATCCAACCGACAATTTCTCTACAGAGTCAGACCAAAAGTAAAAAGACTTCAATAAAAATAAGGAACAATAAATAAAACTCACAATATATCCCTTCACCTTCATAGTTCGCGAATAGCTTGAAATCACTCATACTGAACGCTTTCCAATAAGTGATATATAGGTAGTTACTTGACTCCCACAAGGTCAAGATGTGACACAAGGTCGATTAACGTGAGAAACCCGAGTGTTTCCACTCAAATGCCACTGGTCAAAATTGGTCATAGCATGCCCAAGCTGGTCAGAGCTTAGTCAAAACTGGTCATGACTTGTCCTAGCAAGTCCAGGACGGAGCCAATCCAAGCTAGTCGAAGCCTTGATCGAATCTCAGCCAAAGGCCAAGAAACGATCCAATATTTGTCAAAACCCCCAGCGAAACCGCCAGGTAAGATATATAATAAGATATATATAACTAGTAGATATATATATATATATATATATATATATATATATATATATATATATATATATATATATATATATATATATATATATATATATATATACCATACGACTAGTTATACTCGATCGGAAAAAACCTCGGATAGCACAACTTGTAAATCTATCAAAACAAATTGATAGCCGAGGACAAAAATTGGGAAAAAAAAGAAAGAACTAGAAACGTTCAAACGGGGCGAAATAAGAGCCTTAAGTTTTTAGTCCAAAGAAAAAAAAACAAGGACGTAATAAATCTAAAACGTACAGTGCTCGATACGCTAAGTAGTGCAGGGATAAATGAAATAAATCCTGAAGAGCAAGGAACAACCAACCTAAGTTTCACCAAAATGAATCTTCAGGGTAAACACTCCCTGGCTCTTTAGGATTTATTTCATATATATATATATATATATATATATATATATACAGACATCTAAACAAAACTTACAGAGATTTTATATATATATATATATATATATATATATATATATATATATATATATTATCAAGTGATGATGTTGAATTCAACATCATCACTTGATAAGCCACCGGAGGTGTTGTAACAAAATGGCTACTTTTGTAGGGATTGTATAACATATTTATGTTATAATTTTAAAATAAAATATTATATATATATATATATATATATATATATATATATATATAAAGAAATATAGTCTTAAGGTGTGCTATATTTATCGGATAAAGTGCTCAATATCAGAGATAGAGCGTGTGTAAATATAAAGTGAACATAAGTCAACACTTAGAAGCGACAGTCTGTTTATGCTATATGCAATCGTCAGGCCACGATTGCATATAGCATGAAACAGACTGTCGCCCCTAAGTGTTGACTTCTATGTTCACTTTTATATTTATATATATATATATATATATATATATATATATATGTATGTATGTATGTATGTATGTATTATGCACTGTTACATTAGAACATGTAAATATCCACAAAGCATATTAAATAGTGTATAATGAATATTTATTACCCTACTATTGTACTGAACCCTGTTTAATTTAACGTTTTCAACGTTGAAATTTTATTCTGCATTCTTTTACATTTGTATGTATATATATATATATATATATATATATATATATATATATATTCTTTTGTTTTCTTGACTTCATCTTTCTTTTAATATCTCACATTATGATAACAGAAAAACTGCCAAGATTGACGAAATGTTGTAAGGCCATGCATGTAAATTTAATATGGCTGAACTAGCGATTAAAGAACTTTCTAGACAATTTCGTTTTAGTGAATTAATTTCTCTTTTAAGTAGATTTAGATTTTTTTATATCAAAATTGTGCTCGGTTTCATTACAGTGAACAACTAATGCATTCTGTGTGTTTTTTAGATTCTTTTTATTTTTATTTCCACCCTCTTTGTTATTAACTCACGTTGTGATAAAAGAAAATCTGCCAAGAATTTTGAAATGCTGTATGACCCTGGACGTAAATTTACTATGGCTGAAATAGCGATTAAAACAAAAGCAAAACAAGAAACCAAAAGTTGAAGGAGAAATTTTCTCTATCAACTGCAAGGATTGACAGAAAGAACATATAAAAGAAACCTCAAGCATTTTAAACAAAACTCTATACCAGGGGTCGGCAACTCATTCGACCCCTCGGGCCGGATCGTGTTATAATGACGGGTCGCTGGCCGGACGAAGGCCATTAATGAAAAATTAAGGAAAATTACATATGCAGACCCCTGTCAACCTAAATATTTAAAACCATAATGAAAATAAACATTGAGAAATCAGAAAAACAAAAGAAAATCTAAAATTAATAAAACACCTAACAAAAATTACTTTTCATCAAGGAACGTCAAAATACTTCAAAGCGAAAAAAAATCAACCGAAGTGAAATGGATGAAATCATGACGTGTAGCTTTGAAACTGTTATTGAAAATTGTTCCACAAACGAACCACACACACACACATCAAACAAAAACGAAGCACATATACCCATACATAGGAGTACAAATAGTTGCAAACATATACACTTACGTACGTACACATGCGGTATCATCCACACATTCATGAGGCATGTATGTATAATGCGCGTATGTTTAACTGTCTTTAGATTTCTGCTACCTCGCATGTCATTCCCTCCCTGGCCTCTTTCATTTTATCGTTCCTTTCGCTTCTGTTATCTTTTAATGTAGCCAAGGGTCATAACAAATATGTATCCATTATTCGACATTAAACGTGGGCAACGCAACTTGGTAAAATAAGTATCATGAAAGATAACTGGCAGTACACTGAGATGTGTAGACATTCTATAGAAAATGACATCTAACAAATTTCATTTGAAGGTCGTCTCTCATGTTAAAAATAGTCATTGGTAATCAGGCTCGTGGGCCGGTCAACATGTCTACGCGGGTCGGATCCGACCCGCGGGCCGTAGGTTGCCGACACTTGCTCTATATAAACACAAAAGGAAAAAAACACACAAATATATTGGCTGTTCACCGTAACGAAACTGACAGTTTGACATAAAAATGCCACCCTAATTAAAAGAGAAAATAATTCACTATGAGGAAGATGTCTAGAAAGTGCTTTCATGGCTAATTCAGCCACAATAAATTTAAGTCCAGGTTCTTACAACGTATCACCATTCTTGGCAGATTTTCTGTCGTCACAATATTATTTATATTTTTATGTATGGTGGACTCTCCCGTCGTATTCGACGTATGAGTGTCAAGCAGCTCAGTTCCTAGGAGCCGATAGGCAAACACCAGCACATATGATTTGATTATAATGGTGAAGAACCAACAAAACTTTTTGAAGGGCCGATTACAGAGATCTGATGTACTACGTGCCACAAGGTCACCAAACAGCCCCTCGCAGGTTTTGAATTCAGAGTTGTCCTTCTCCTAGACCAGTTGCCATCCAAGGCTATAGAACCCAGTCTGTCCTGCTATTTGCCCATAGATGGAGGGAAAAGAAGAGGGTTCATACTTTTCCTAAGGGTATTAGCACGTAAGTGAATGTAATAGATTTTATATATATATATATCAAAATTCGCTTGAAGATGAAATGGAACTAATGCTTTTAATTTAATTGCAAAATTAAATTCGGGGTTTTTAGCTTCTATTTTTGAAACATGGTTGGAACTGTGTAACGAAAAAAAACATATTTTAAATCAATTAATTTATAATATTAATGCTCTGTAAATTTACATTGAGCACTATTTTGTAAAAATAAAAATAAAAATATCTATAAGAACACCGGATTTTATATCTTACTGTTCTTTTTTTTTTTTTATATATATATATATATATATATATATATATATATATATATATATATATATATGAAGAAATATACTCTTAAGATGTGCTATATTTATGGGATAAAGTGCTTAATATCAGAGATCAGACACTTAGAGGCGCCAGGCTGTTTCATGCTAGACGCAATCGTCAGGCCACGAGTGTTTTCTTTTTCTCGGCTATTTATATATACAGATCAATGGTGGATTGTGGGTAGTCGATTTTGGCGGTTATTTTGCCGGAGGTCGTTTATTTGTTTATTTATTTATTTATTCATAATTGTTAATGCCATAGGTAGCACAAATAATGAATTGTTAGAATAGTCTATGAAGCATTTCAAAATTTTGTGATTTTACTTGAAGCCAAATTTAACAACAAATATATGTCGATGTATAGCTGGGAATGTTTAATATATATATATATATATATATATATATATATATATATATATATAGAGAGAGAGTGAGAGAGAGAGAGTGATTGATAAATAGATAGATAGATAAAGAGAGAGAGAGAGAGAGGAGGATACAATAACCTGGTGAAGGAACATAGATAGATAGATAGATAGATAGATAGATAGATAGATAGATAGACAAAACCGTACTATAAGCTGGGGATAAAGGATGAATTAGATAGATAGATAGATAGATAGATAGATAGATAGATAGATAGGAAGCGTTGAGATAGATAGATAGATAGATAGATAGATAGATAGATAGATAGATAGATAGATAGGTAATGCATAGGAAGAGAATGAGATGGTTGTTAACATCCTGAGAGAGCGAGATAGATAGATAGATAGATAGATAGATAGATAATGCATAGGAATAGAATGAGATGGTTGTTAACATCCTGAGATAGATAGATAGATAGGAAGCGTTGAGATAGATAGATAGATAGATAGATAATCCTCATACATAATGCATAGGAATAGAATGAGATGGTTGTTAATATCCTGAGAGAGCGAGATAGAACGAAAGAGAAAAGATAGGAAGAAACAAAGAAAGAAAGCGAGGAGGAGAGGACAGAGATAAAGAAAGAGGGTGTACTGTTCGTTCGAGATGAACAGACGGGGATTTCTTGCTCGATAGTGATTGATAGATAACAAATGAAACATTTACACAGATAATTATGCAGATCAATTTAATAAATTCACCAGCTCTTTTGACTCGTTTCATTAAGGAGGTCTTCGATTTGACTTCGATAATAGAGAAATACATTTATATTTGCAAATCCATAATAATTACCTTGTCATAATACAAATGTTCTTCACACAAGACATTTTAATTTCCAACTGCTCCCGTTCTACCCTGAACCCACTCCCCAATATAATCGACTCCATCTCACAGGTACCCGCTTCTCAACAGACCGGGTGAAGTAGTGGCAACAATTTACATTCTAATTAAAGTCACCTCCACTGGCGGGGACTAATAGCGGGGACCCTTGTCTAATTAAGACTTGGGGACCTCTGCTCGCTGGTAATTAGCAATTAAAGTCAAGTGACTGGCGCTATCGCTCACCGCTCGGAGCTAAGGTGAATGTCTCCTGGCCTTACCTGTGCACACCGGTCAGCCTCGTCTGACCACATTTGAACCATCACATCCCCGGGAACAAAATCTAACGGTCACTAATAAGTACTCATTAGATCTCTACCTACAGGAGAGACAAGAGAAGTCATGTTTCCTTAGACAAACTAAACGTGCTTGATTTATCATATTTGTTACGTAACTGAGATTTTTCAACGATTGCTTAATTATTAGATTGATCTATAGCATTAACCGCCTATTTGAAAATATTATAGTCGTATAAAGTTATAGCGTCATTATTCAGTCGTCAGGGTATTTTTCTTGCTTTTCTCTGAACTTAAGATAAATTTGGTCCCAACTGATTGAGGTTGATGCAAAAATGAAATAGACTTAAAAGATGTCTAGCATGTTGTTGTGGATTCCGCGAATGGAATCCTGCACAAATGAATAAACAATGCCAGTAATTGAGATAGAAAAGTAAGTGTATTAAACGTAAGAATACAGACTTGAAGTAAAGATTAGTAGTCCAGGAATGCGGGTTAGTAGAAAGTATATGTACAAGTCTCTGTAAGTAAAGCCGTAATCAACTCTCTCTCTCTCTCTCTCTCCCTCTCTCTCTCTCTCTCTCTCTCTGGACTCTTGTATAACTCTCTGAGAACACACTGTGTCTTTCTCCGTATCTCTCAACGTATCTCAATATTTAATATCCCACCCACGAGGAATATATGTGACACAAGGTGGAGTTTAAAGTGGGTTTCTCCGAGCCCGTAGGCTCGGCCAAAAATATACCCTTTGAACCCGCCTAGACGGGTTCAGGGCCTGTCTACCTCCCCGGACGAAACCTTGCCCTTCGGCAAATCTTCGCCCGGGTTCCTCTCTGGCAAAACAGAGAGTTCGACAGACGTCGAGACTGTATCTCGACGTAGCTCAACAGCAGGTATTCTCGCTGTCAGTATAAGTATACTTTGGACGAGTCCATCTTATATAAAAAGGGGAGAGCCCCACAACACATGTACAGGGTGCGATCGATAAATTGTCGACTAAATGCCGATAATAATACTAAATATTAACACTAAATAATTACACTAAATAATAAATAACGAAAATAATGATGAAAACAACACTGACATCTCATTTTAACAGATATATTTATCAAAATTACACAAAAATATCTTGAAATACTAAAGAGTATAATTTATTCAATAAAATCACCATTGGCTTCAACTATGGCCTTCAGACAACTTGAGAATCTCCGGCAACTTTTCTGGATGGTCTCCTTGTTTAAGTTGGTGAATGCTACCACAATTCTTGCCTTTAGTTCATCTTTGGTATTACAAGAAGATTTGTTGGTCTTTTGCTCAACTGCACCCCACACACAATAATCAAGAGGCTTGCAGTCTAGAGAATTAGATAGCCAGATGTCATAGTATATGTGGTTGCAGAAATTGTCTGATATCCATGTCTGTGGTTTTGTGCTTGTGTGGCATGTTGTCCCGTTGCCAGAAAAAGGGTTTTCCAGCAGCCACTCTCTTGTCCCTGGGCAGCGCTTACATCCTTAAAGGACCTCTGGAAAGATAAATGGAGTCATAACGTCGCGATCATCCCAAATACCATGAAGTTTCCGAATCTTCTGACACTCAAACACTCTGAAATGTTCGTATTGAAGCTTCCGGTGCGAATGCCAAGCAGTAAAGCATGCCGTTTCCGAATTTGTGGTAGAGTGATTTAAGTTATGGTGTTTTTTTTTTCTGTCACAGACGGTGACCAACTGACCCTACTAACTGTGCAGTTGACAAAATCAAAAACAAACAACGCGCATGCTCGAAATTAAAAATATAAAATGGCGACAATTTTCCCCATTGCACCCTGGATGTATCGAAAGATTTCATTCATATCGTCGTTATTAGAACTCATTGCCAAGTAATTGGGGTACTGATCAACATTTCTTTTTGTGTGAAAAGAGTCTATCAGTATGGTAGGTCAGAAGTGTTCAGATAATGGGGAATTCTAGTTTTTCTTCGGTCTCTTTTCCCCCCCTTCTATTTGTCATCTGGTGTTGGAAAACACCAGATGACAAATAGAAGGGGGGGGGAAAGTACTGCTCTTCTCCATTTTTTTTTTATTTATTTTTTTTTTCTGAAACTTCCGTCGATTAATTGAGCGGATCGATTTATGTCCTCAGGAAAATCTTTTTGAACTGATCCTTTAATTGAGGGCGTGGGATTCCATGTGGTCTCTTGCCAGATGCGGGCTCTGAGAAGAGGAATTCTTTAGACGGGAAGTTGTCTGGTATTGGACCGGCAATTTGTCCAACCAATCGAAGTCGGTGGCGAGTTTCTAGGCTCGCCACCTAGTTATTTAGGACCTGTATTCAGCAGAATTTGATGAAATTTCATTTGATGGAATCTTGATCAAATGAATGTCTCTTCAGTATCCAGGTCTCACAGGCGTAGAATCGAAATTACAACAACTCGATAAACCCATGACTCTTGTGGATTCATTCATTTACATTCATAGTGTCATTGTTTAGTAATTAAAGGAATTTTCCCGATTCACACATAATTTAAGATACCTTTCTTCTAAACTGAATGTTCACATAAATGAGGTTCGTGTCAAATTTTTAACGTGTATTTGTCAGAATGTTTTATTCATAAAATGTATAGCACTATTATTCAGTAAGGTAATTACCTGATATTCTTCTAATTTAATCCTGGTACACTTTTAATTTAATCCTGATACTCTTCTTATTTAATCCTGATACACTTCTAATCTAATCTAATCCTGATATTCTTTTAATTTAATCCTGGTACTCTTCTAATTTAATCTTGATACTCATCTAATTTAATCCTGATACTCTTTTAATTTAATCCTGACACTCTTCTAATTTAATCCTAATACTGTTTTAATTTAATCCTGGTATTTTTGTAATTTAATCCCGATACACTTTTAATTTAATCCTGATACTCTTCTAATTTAATCCTGGTATTCTTTTAATTTAATCCTGATACTCTTTCAATTTAATCCAGATATTCTTCCAATTTAATACTGATACTCTTCTAATTTCATCCTGATACTCTTCTAATTAAATCTTGATACTCTTTTAATTTAATCCTGATAGTCTTCTTATTTAATCCTGGTATTCTTCTAATTTAATCCCAGTACTAATTTAATCTTGATACTCATCTAATTTAATCCTGATACTCCTTTAATTTAGTCCTGGTACTCTTCTTATTTAACCCTGATACTCTTCTAATTTAATCCTGATACTCTTTTTATTTAATCTTGATACTCTTCTAATCTAATCTTGATACTCTTCTAATCTAATACTGATACTCTTTTAATTTAATCTTGATACTCTTCTAATTTAATCCTGGTACTCTTCTAATTTAATCCTGATTCACTTCTAATTGAATCCTGATACTCTTCTTATTTAATCCTGATACTCTTCTAATCCAATCCTGATACTCTTCGAATTTAAAATACATTTAATCCAGGTTGATCTTTCTCATAACCAAGGTTGATGTAAAATGTTTTTCGGTATGAATTTGTCGGTACATTTTATTCATATAAATTTACTGCATCATTATTCAGACCCAAAATTTATATTCCTACTTTCTCTCACAATTTAATATATAACTACCTTACAGAAAACCTAACACTAATTCCTTGTATGTACACCCTAAGTCAAACCACCCTCCATCTATAATTAAGCATATACATACATCAATAGAGAAAAGAATCAGTATGAACTCCGCTAATAAGGAAATATTCCAACAACACAGTAATTTTTATAACACGGCCATGAAAAATAGCGGATACAAAAACGCTAACATTAATTATAGAAACAATAGTACTAACGAAAAGAAAGACAGGGAAAGGAAAAGCATTTGGTATACCCCTCAGTTCAACCAAATGGTTAGTATTAAGCTAGGACATAAGTTACTTTAATTGAAAATATTTTCCTATTAATAGCAGACTTAGCAAGAGCTTTAATAAAAACACCTTAAAATTAAGTTACAGTTGCACTGAAAATCTAGAAAGAAGCATTAAAAAAACATAATAATAAAATCCTGGAAAAACACGCATGCCAAAACGGTATTAATAAAAATCCTAACTAAAATTACACAAAAAGAATGAAAAATTATGTGATTGTAGCATCCCTAAAGACTGCTCGTTGGAAAATAAATGTCGCGCAAAACCTGTGGTATACCAATGCATTATCTCATCCATTGAGAGTCCTAACACTGATAGGATATACATTGGTTCAACGAAGAATGAATTTCAAATTAGATGGAGACAACACAATAGCTCCTTCAATAATATTAGGAATAGAAATCAAACAACTCTATCCAAATATTTTTGGCATTTAAAGAAAATGAATAAAACACCAAAAGTTAAATGGAAAATAATAAATAGAACAAGAACTTGTAAAACCTGGGATGACCCATGCCCTTTATGCCTACATGAAAAACTACACATTATTAAGTTTCTAAATAATGAAAATTTATTAAACCATAGACATGAGTTAATGGTTTTCTGCCGACATCAACAAATCTTCGCATTAAATAATTAGCATAAAAAAACTTACTTA